TTCCATCAGTCTGTGTGTCTGCCTTTATACCAGTACCATGGTGTTTTGGTTACTATAGCCTTTTGTATAATTTGAAGTCAAGTAATGTGATGCTTCTAGATTTGTTGTTTTTGCTTAGAATTGCTTTGACTATTTGGAGTCTTTTGGTTCCATTTGAAGTTTAGGATTATTTTTTCTAGATCTGTGAGAAATGACGTTGAGATTTTGTTGGGAATTGCCTTGAATCTGTAAATCACTTTGGGCAGTATGGACATTTTAACAATGTTGATTTTTCCAATCCATGAGCATGGGATTTTTGAAATTTGTATCATCTGCAATTTCTTTCATCAGTGTTTTGTAGTTTTCTTATAGAAAACTTTCACCTCCTTGGTTAAGTATATTCCTACATATTTTATTTTCTTTGTAGCTACTGTAAATGGTATTGAGTTCTTTATTTGGCTCTCAGCTTGACTGGTACTAGCTTGTAGAAATGCAACTGATTTGCATACATTAATTTCATAACCTGAAACTTTACTGAATTTATCAATTCTAAGAGTCTTTTGGTGGAATTTTTAGGGTTTTCTAAGTGTAAGATCATATTGTTGGCAAACCAGGGATAGTTTTATCTCCTCTTTCCCAATTTGGATGCCCTTTATGAACTTTCTCTTGCCTAATTGCTTTGGCATGGACTTCCAGTACTGTGTCGAATAGAAGGGGTGACAGTGGGTATCCTTGTCTTGCTGCGGTTCTTAGGGGTAATGTTTTCAACTTTACTTCATTCAGTATGATGTTGGCCACAGGTTTGTCATACATGGCTTTTAAGATGTGTTCTTTCTATGCCTATTTTGTTGAGGGTTTTTATCATGAAGGGGTGCTGGATTTTATCGAATGCTTTTTCTGTATCCAGATAATCATATGATCTGTTTTTTAATTGTTTATGTGGTGAATCACATTTATTGATATACATATATTGAAGCATTCTTGCATCCCTAGGATGAATCTCACTTGATCCTGGTGGATTATTTTTTTTGACATGCTGCTGAATTTGGTTTGCTGGTATTTTGTTGAGGATTTTTGCATCTATCTTCATGAAGGATATTGACCTGTAGTTTCCTTTTTTTGTTGTGTCTTTTCCTGGCTTTGGTATCAGGTGACACTGGCTTCATAAAATGAGTTAGAGAGAAATCTTTAACTTTTGAAAATAGTTGAATAAATTGAGAACAAGTTTAACTTGAAAAATATGAAAAAGGAGAGTATAGCATTACGAAGTTAGAAAATTTAGATAAACCACTCACTTTAGCTTTTTAAATATGTATATATTTTGATAAAAATAGGATTGTGCCATAATGTTCATAACAAAAGTATTCTCCTTTTTTGTTTGCTTTTTTCTATAACACTGTTTATTGATCAAAATAAAGACTCACTATTATCTACATTTTATAAACACACTAAAAATTCGAAATTGATACCATACTGAACCTTAAATACTTTTTTTTTTTTAGATGGAGAATTATCTCTGTTGCCCAGACTGGAGTGCAGTGGTGTGGTGATAGCTCACTGCAGTCTCAGACTCATGACCTCAAGTGATCTTACCACCTTGGTCTCCCAAAGTGCTAGAATTATAAGCGTCAGCTACTGCACCAGGCCTAATACTCCTTTATTTCTAATGACTGTATAATGGCTCATCGTTTGGGTACATCTTCATTTATGCAATGTGTCCCTTGTTGAGCATTTAATTTTTAATACTTGCTGTTAAGAGTGTTGCTGGGACTATCTTATGGTTGCATTTTTGTGTACATCTTGTGTAAATCATTTTCTTAAGCTGTATTCTTATAAGGAAAATGATAGTTGTGTGTGTATGTGCCAGGTTTTACGCTACCTATCTGTGGCTCCTGCAGGTATAAGCTCCTCAAGCACTGATACTTTCTGATTCTTTCTGTGCGTCAGTTATGCACTCTTAATTTACCTTGACAGAGATTATGTTTCTCTTTGCTGTCTTTTGTCCGGAATGTTTAGCAGTTTACAGCAACACATGTGTGTATGGGGAGGAAAAAACGTAAGGAACTTGACAGTTTTTTGTCATCAAAGACCCAGATGGTTCATCTGGCCTATTTTGGTATTTTATTTCCCCATTAAAACGCTTAAATGTGGTCAAGGTTGCTTTTGCCTCTTGGCTGTTGTGAATAATGCTGCTATGAACATGGGTATATAAGGTCTTCAAAACTCTCAATTATTTTGGATATATAAACCCCCCCCCACAAGTGGGGTTGCTGGATCATATCTACTATTTTTAATTTTTTGAGGAACCACCATAGTGTTTTCCATAGCAGTTATACCATTTTATGAACCCACCAGCAGTGCATAAGTGTTCCAGCTTCTCCACATTTTCAGCAACACTTGTCTTTTTCTGGAAGGGTTTTGATAGTGGCCATCCTAATGTGTGCGAGGTGATATCTCCCTGTGGTTTTTTCTTTTTTATTTCAGCATATTATGGGGGTACAGATGTTTAGGTTACGTGTGTTGCCCTTGCCCCCCTCCCCCCAAAGTCCGAGCTTCAAGCGTGTCCATCTCCCAGATGGTGCGCATGGCACTCTTTGTGTATGCATATACCCATCCCTTCCTCCCCCTTCCCCCTCCCCCCTGCCCGACGTCCAGTAAATGTTATTCTTATATGTGTACTTACGTGTTGATGAGTTAATACCAATTTGATGGTGAGTACATGTGGTGCTTGTTTTTCCATTCTTGGGATACTTCACTTAGTAGAATGTGTTCCAGCTCT